CTTAGGATTTTTTTCAATAAATACCTGTACTGTTTCTGTTCACGATGCGGAGTGGCTGACTGCATTGGTCTCTGCCATTTTATATAGGGTACTTGAGCGTCCTTGTAGTTAGGTATCCCTGGGGGGTCCTGGAACCACTCCCCCTTAGATAATGAGGGACAGTTAAATTTTGGGGGAGTTGAAAGTTATATGGATTTTCAACTGCATGAGGGTTGTTCTCCACTACTCCCCTCCCCGCCACCGCCGGCACATTGTTCATGGGGCAGCTGTACTTTGGTCTTAACTTTGAGAAAATTCGGTAAGACTAAATTTTTCTGTATTAGTTGTTGAGAAAGTTGGGTATGGGGTGGAGCTACCTTTTGATTTTAGAAAATGGTCTGATATAATTACATTACTTGTCTAAAGGTAGGAGACTAGTTGTCATTTGAAACTAGAAGGAGCTATTCAGTTTCTCTTAGGGATTCTTGTGGGTTCTGGTTATAGTCATGTTCTGCCACACATGTTCCCTAAAGCAGTGTGATTCCCAAACCTGTCTCCATCTCAGACTTAATGCATCATAGTCTTTAGGGATGATACTAGAGATGTGTGTCTTTAAGAAGTTCTTTAAAAGTTTTAGGGTAGGCAGAGTATGTCTCATAGGACTGAGAGAAATACCAAGTAAAGATTGGTTTAAAATGATGGAAACGAAGATGCTAATGATGTTAATATAGCACTTACTCGTTTGTGTTAGACACTGTGCCAAATATTTTATGAAACTCATTTAAGTCTCAATTATCCTGTGAGGTAGTTAATTTTATTCCCAGTTTCCAGATGAGAAAACGGACTCATTGATATTGTCCCTTTTGTCCAAGGGCATATAGTGAGTTAGTTGTGTTTTGATTCTAGGTGTCTGACTTCAGACCCAGTGATATTGACCTCCCCATTTTGGAAATGGGGGATGGTACACACAGTGTAATCCAGAGCAGTGGTCTTACATGGAATCACTCAGAAGCTTAAAAAAAAAACCCCTCAGATCTATAAAGGGGTCTAAGAACATGCATATTTTAATTTTTAAAATTTTAATGAGGCATAATTACATATAGTAAAATACAATTTTTGACAGATAACATATGCTCATGTAACAGGAGAACATGCATTTTAATCAAGGGCCCCAGATGTGCAGCAGATGTGCAGGATGTGTGGAAACCCTGGGATCAGAGTGCTCTATGGCAGTGTGAGGACAGCTGGCTCTTTCAAGGTGACTTGCAAGCATGTTGTAGCTGCTTGGGAGATCTTTGGGACTTAACTGATTTTGGACTCATCTCAATCATAGAATATCGTTAACCTCCATTAGTTTAGAAAATAAAGCTTTTGTTTGTAGCTTGACAATATTAAACTAGAAAATGGATTGCTTTTCCTTGGTTTTTGGGGGAGTATCAGTGTTGGCAGAATTGAACTGGTGCTGGGGCCCTGGGACACTGCCCTTTATTAGATGCAGTGTTACATCTTCAGTGAGGGAGTTTGGAAGGGCTGCCCACTGGGAGCTTAGGAAAAACTTAGATTTCTGTTGCTCATATCCCATTTTTGAGAGACAGAATGGAGGAGAATGCTTTTTATATGGTCTCTCTTTTGGATGTAAATCATAAAACATTAAGCAAGGCTTTAAAATAGTTCAATTGTGCAGCTGTGTAAAATGGTACAGTATGTTATTTTAGGAACTGTATTTATGAATCATGCATTTCGATAATATGATTGTTCAGTGTTGTAATCCCTGCCTTCTCTTTATTTGGGAGGACCATAAGCAAGAAGAGATGTATGCTATTAAAAATATTTGCTTAAATACGTGTTAAAAGGAAGAGAGAAGGAACAGGATAATATACTGGAGGCTTTTGGAGAGGACCTTATCAGGGAGTGGAAAGAATGGCTATTTTAACTGATCATTTAAAAGATCGATGGTGTTGCTTGAGCTTAAGTTTATAACTTAGCATTTTTCAGGTTCATAAGTTGGGGTATCTTTATCTTCAGTCACTTTTCTTTCTCAATTTATGTCAGTAAGATTGACTAGGGTGTGGAAATCCCTCCTTTTAAAATAATGGCTTAAGTTTTGCTGTCTAAAGAGAAAGCCATCTTGCAATTTCTTAGTAGTCTGTTATGTATTGTATGTTTATATTTCCCAAATGTAAAGTTTTTATTGAGCCTGCTGATTTTATAACATAGTATAAGAATCTAGTTCTTGCGTTAAAATTGAGTACATTTTTATAAACCATGTATTTCCCATTGGAAAGCATTTCAGTCATTGGGACTATTATGGGACAGATATTGTGCTAAAGATAGTTTTATAGAAATAATCTGTGAGAGAGAGTATAAATTCTTTCTAGAAATGTGTCCTAAGTGAAGTATAGATTATCTAGACTGAATACTTTGGAGGCCTTAATATTAGGAAATATACGAAGGGCTGCAGACAGGCTAAAATATCTGAAAATTAATGGAAGCACTCATTAGTTAGAAGTAGTAAATAGGTGTTCT